ATCCAGTTGCAGAGGGAGGTGTTTAGTCCCAGGATCCTTAGCTTAGTGATCAGCTTAGAGGGCACTATGGTGTTGAATGCTGAGCTGTAGTCAATGAATAGCATTCTCACGTAGGTGTTCCTCTTGTCCAGGTGGGAAAGGGCAGTGTGGAGTGCAATAGAGATTGCATCATCTGTGGATCTGTTGGGGCGGTATGCAAATTGGAGTGGGTCTAGGGTTTCTGGGATAATGCTGTTGATGTGAGCCATGACCAGCCTTTCAAAGCACTTCATGGCTACAGACGTCAGTGCTACGGGTCGGTAGTCATTTAGGCAGGTTATCTTAGAGTCCTTGGGCACGGGGACTATGGTGGTCTGCTTGAAACATGTTGGTATTACAGACTCAGTCAGGGACATGTTGAAAATGTCAGTGAAGACACTTGCCAGTTGGTCAGCACATGCTCGGAGTACACGTCCTGGTAATCCGTCTGGCCCTGCGGCCTTGTGAATGTTGACCTGCTTAAAAGTCTTACTCAGATCGGCTACGGAGAGCGTGATCACATAGTCATCCGGAACAGCTGGTGCTCTCATGCATGCTTCAGTGTTGCTTGCCTCGAAGCGAGCATAGAAGTGGTTTAGCTCGTCTGGTAGGCTTGTGTCACTGGGCAGCTCGCGGCTGTGCTTCCCTTTGTAGTCTGTAATAGTTTTCAAGCCCTGCCACATCCGACGAGCGTCAGAGCCAGTGTAGTACGATTCAATCTTAGACCTGTATTGACTCTTTGCCTGTTTGATGGTTCGTCGGAGGTCATAGCGGGATTTCTTATAAGCGTCCGGGTTAGAGTCCCATTCCTCGAAAGCGGCAGCTCTACCCTTTAGCTCAGTGCGGATGTTTCCTGTAATCCATGGCTTCTGGTTGGGGTATGTACGTACGGTCACTGTGGGGACGACATCATCGATGCACTTATTGATGAAGCCAGTGACTGATGTGGTGTACTCCTCAATGCTGTCTGAAGAATCCCGGAACATGTTCCAGTCTGTGCTAGCAAAACAGTCCTGTAGCTTAGCATCTGCGTCATCTGACCACTTTTTTATTAACCGAGTCACTGGTGCTTCCTGCTTTAGTTTTTGCTTATAAGCAGGAATCAGGAGGATAGAGTTATGGTCAGATTTGCCAAATGGAGGGCGAGGGAGAGCTTTGTATGCGTCTCTGTGTGTGGAGTAAAGGTGGTCTAGAGATCTCTAGTGGCACAGCTCTAGTGGCACAGTTCGTATTTAAATCATGTCAAGACATTCTTTCCAGTTGTGTGCGTTCAAGTTAAGAGTAAGTTTGTTTCCTATTTTTCATGTATATTTTAGTTGAGTCATAACATTAAGATGTCATGTCATTTCCTTATTTTCCTTATTTTATATACATTGGTTTTAAAGATTCATGCTTATCACCTTTACCTTTTTTTGTTATGCAACTTTCTTATAATGTCTCTTCTTTGTTGCAGAACCACGCACAAATCCGACTTTACCATGTCCAACCACAAGTCCTTAATAAATATGTGAAGTTTGGCACTGTCTCTGTCGTCCGCTTGTTCTCTGACCAGAGCAGAGTACCCCTGGTGACATCTATCCAACCAGTTACTTATCTTGGGTGTCTCAGCCTATTTTTCAGCAGCCATATTGGAGATCTGCGATGGCACTATAGCCAAAAACATTTATTTAGACATGCCCTAGCTGTTTGTGAAATTTGGTGGCTCTATCACAAAGTCCCCCAAAAAATTCCCGTAGCTACTGGACTATGGTAAAAATGACCTCAATATGACCCCCATGAAGGTCTTAAGAGTATTTTATGATCATAATTATTGTCTATATTATCTGTGGGGTTTATTTAGCGGGTAGATAACATTACAAATTCACTTTTACACTGAACAAAAATACAGTGCATTCGGAAAGTATTCAGACCCCTTGACTTTGTCCACATTTTGTTACATTACAGCCTTATTCTAAAATTGATTAAATAGTTTTCCCCCCTCAGCAATCTACACACAATACCCCATAATGACAAAGTAAAAACAGTTTTTTTTTTTTTTTGGCAACGGAAATATCACATTTGTGACTCGTTTCAGGAAACTAGGCATATGTTGCGCGTCACTACTTCATTTGAACGTCAACTTTACATTTTTTATCAAAATGCGTTTTTTGGCAGAAATACCTTCTGGAACGTGAACATTCATGTGCCTTAATAACAAGCTTGTATGCCATCTGTAAATACTAATACAATTGTTAAATTACGAGCCTAGTTGGTTTAGCCATGGAAAAAGACAGCAACTTTCCCGCTAGCCATGATTAGCTGAGATAATGAGTGGGCTGGACATGCCGAGAGATGAGTTCGGATTGGTCTGCCATGTTGCATGGTTCTGTCTATAATATGAGCTGGTCAGTATGTGTAGGTAATCCTTTCTAACGCTTTTTTGAAAGATATCACATAGTAGAACTGCGTAAGTGTTGCTCTCCACTTTCTGGAGGACCGAGTTTTGAAATCAGTGGAATTAGAGTATGATAGATGGAGAAAATTCTGGCATTTGATTGCAAATATGCAGACAGAGTTGAAAAGAGAACACAGAAGGCTCCGGATTACATCTTCAAACTAAGGGAAATCATGGCATTCATGACAGAGAGGGAGAAGCGTCCATCCATGTATACGGGTAAGAGAGTCTAGCTAGCTACATTTACATTACATTTTAGTCATTTAGCAGACTCTCTTATCCAGAGCGACTTACAGTTAATGCATACATTATTTATTTTTTCATACCCCCTGTGGGAATTGAACCCACAACCCTGGCGTTGCAAACGCCATGCTCTATCAACTGAGCTACATCCCTGCCGGCCATTCCCTCCCCTACCCTGGACGACACTGGGCCAATTGCGCGCCGCCCCATTGGTCTCCCGGTCGCGGCCGGCTATGACAGAGCCTGGATTCGAACCAGGATCTCTAGTGGCACAGCTAGCACTGCGATGCAGTGCCTTAGACCACTGCGCCACTCGGGAGTCTGTTTTTCAGTCTGTCGGGAGCTACATTTTCAGATACTACACGTTTCTAATTTTGTCAGAAAATCATTTTCATTTCAAGTTAAAGTGTACTGTTCGCTAGCTAGCTAACGTTAGCTGGCTGGCTAGCTAGCTAATGTTATGTGTATGATCTGTGTGGTAATATTATTTGTATCTCAGAGCCATTTGCACTGCTAGTTATAGCCTAATGTTAGCTAGCTAACATTGAACCTGGTTGGTTAGCTACCTGCAGATTCATGTAGGGTAGTAACGTTATGAGTTGGGATTATGGTTAATTGTTTAGCTAGCTAGCTACATGTCTAAACAAAAGACTCCACTATGCAAGTAACTATTTCAATATAATGTTTATGATGTCACTGCAACAACTGTCGATAGACGTAGCTGGTAAATTCGCTTTCAGAGCACTCTCGTCTGAGTGTGCCAGAGCGCAGAATTACTGACAAATTTACAAACGCTCAACACCCGTTGAATATGGCCGGTGTCAGTAAACGTTGACAAATAAATCCAGTTTTTTAAATCAAATGGGACTGCTGAGATTCAAAGTGGTTGGGATGATATACAATAGATATTGGGGGCCCATTTTGGAGCCACTACACTGTTCATTGGACACTGCACTGTGGCCTCCCTCTGCTCCAGCTTAGTTGACCTAGTGTATGTTTGTGTGTATGTGTGTGTATATCGGAGGGGTTGGGTACAGCAGAAGATTCATTTCCTTGGATTAATAAAGTATTCTTCTTCAATACCAGGCCAGGTGCAAACACTTTTAACAGAGACTTTTCTAAAGCAATTAATCAAGTGACTAGTAGTATATTGTTAATCACATTCTACTGCACACAGTAGCAGAGGAAGTCCTTGATGCAACTGAATACTTCACTTGAAAGAAGACATGTTCTGGCTTGGATGATAATTTTCAGTGCATTCGGAAAGTATTCAGACCCCTTCATTTTTTCCACATTTTGTTACAGCCTTATCCTAAAATTGATTAAATTGTTTTTTTCCCTCATCAATCTACACACAATACCCCATAATCACAAAACAAAAACAGGTTTTAAGAAATTTTAGCAAATGTATTAAACATAAAAAACAGAAATATCACATTTGCATAAGTATTCAGACCCTTTACTTTGTTGAAGCACCTTTGGCAGCGATTACAGCCTCAAGTCTTCTTGGGTATGACGCTACAAGCTTGGCACACCCGTATTTGGGGAGTTTTTCCTATTCTTCTCTGCAGATCCTCTCAATCTCTGTCAGGTTGAATCAGGAGCGTCACTGCACAGCTCTGAGCTAATAATTTCATGACAGAATCTGGCCAATAGCCAAAGGGTTTGTCTTGCCTCATTTAGGCTTGTTGTGGGTGGATTTTCACAGTGTATCAGTTGGACTCAAATCCAGGAAATTTATTACCGCTTTTCAGCTTTGCGGGAATCCTAAACACAGTTACAAAACAGAGGTATATTATGACTGGTTTTCTTCTTATGTGATTAAGAAACAGAATACCAAACAGAAGCCTTACTATGTCTTAAACTTTTTAGTATTAAAGCTTTACCTCTTGTGAAATACTTAATGATAAATGTCAGGGAAGCTTTGATGGAGAATTGATATCAACATCAGCCGTCAGCACTTAGCAGAATTGTAATTCCCTTAAGCAAGTACATTTAGGAATTGTGTTCCCTTTTGCCCACTGTACTCAATATGCTCACTCAAAGAACTGACAACAATGTCAGAGGTATTATTTGAAATACTAGACTATATATTTCATTCAAATCTCTCTGTTCTATTTCTACAGTGAAGAATGTGGAAAGACTTTGGTACCATGTTATGCCTGATGCTGCATCTCTGTTACCAAGGGAACACTTCTATGCCCGACATAAATTGTCCTCCCAGATGCCAGTGTTTCACGCCAACTAAGGTGATGTGTTCTGAGGAGAACATGAGATACATGCCCATTAACAGGAGTTGGTTGTTATGACGACAGGAATGACACGCCTGGGCTCAATCACGATACAGTACTGCCCCCATCTCACTAAGCTGATCTTCAACTTTAATAGGTTAAAGTCATTGAGTGACAGCCTCTTCAGTTCACTCCAGAAGCTGAGGACTTTTCAGGTGAAGGGCAACGTCATATCCCACCTGCTCAGGCAGCTCTTAAAGAACCTCCTGAGTCTTCGTGCTGTTGACCTGTCCCAGAACATACTCACAGGGGTGGACGGGGAGCTCCTCAGCGGCTTGTCCCAGCTAGAGTCCCTCAAACTACTCACATAAAAAAATACTACAGTTTACTTTAGAATACTGCAGTACTTATTATAGAATTCTGTAGTAAACTGTAGTATACTGTAGAACACTATACTACACACTGTTGTATCCCTCAATCATGTGTAGTACTTCGTATAGCATTTTGTAGTATACTGTAGAATACTATAATAAATACTACAGTATTATCCACTCAAAAAAATACTGTAGTAAATACTACAGAATTTCCCAACAAGTTATGGAAAGTTTGCTCTTTTAGTATTTCTCCGGTAGGTTTCCTCAAGGACAAATCTTCAATATTAAAGATAATAAAACAAAAACACTTTAGTAAATACTATAGTATAATACAGTCCGCAAAAACAATACAGTATATACTTGAGTATACGTACTACAGTCCGCAAAAACACTACAGTAATTACTATAGTATATACTAGCATTTTTTTACTACCGTATTTATACTTTAGTAAATTGTAAATACTACAGTATACTACAGTAAATACTACAGGAAAGTCCACAAAAACACTACAGTGAATACTATAGTATTCCTACCATAGTATACACTATAGTATTTTTCGTGTGTGTGTGTGGGCTACAACCTGATCAATGTCCTCTTGCTCGACACTTTCCACTTCTCCCAGGTGAAAGAGCTTTGCCTGACTGGGAAACCAGATATCTTCCCTCTTCTCACATTTAGAGAAACTAGATGGGCTGAACCTTTGCAGCAACTTGATCTCAAACTTCAGCTCTGAAACCTTTCCCTCTCGCTTCGAAGAGCTGGATCTCAAAGGCAACAGGCTGGTGCAGCTCTTGCCTGACTCATTCGGCCGTCTAACCAGTCTTCCCCACCTGTTCCTGTCCATGAACCAGCTCATTGACCTTCCAGAGGACTTCTTCGGGAACCTGACGGCCCTGCAGAACCTGGACCTCTCGGAGAACCAGCTCACATCGCTGCCCAGAACCATCTTCCAAGATCTCACCAAGATCAAAATCGTCCACCTGCAGAATAACAACCTGAGCTTTCTGGAGGCAAAGCTGTTTGAGGACCAGGCCTTCCTGGAGAAGCTGTACCTCTCAGAGAACGACCTCCAGACCCTTCCTCAGGGCTTCTTTGATGCGTTCTTCCACGAGAATGTGATGAGAATTCGCAGGAACGACTGGAGCTGCGACTGCCACATGCTGTATCTGTATGACTATGTGGCGGGGCAAGGTCAATTGGTGGAGGACATAAGTAACGTGTATTGTACGGCCCTGGGCCTTTGAGAGGACAGGATCTGGTCTCTGTAGAGAGGGACCAGCTGGTGTGTCCAAGTCATTTCTCCTCTAGAGCCAAAGCCACCCCCTTCAAAGGCTTGGAGGAGGAGAGGTCACACTCTAGCGAGTGTACTGTCCATTTCATCAACGACAACATGGCGGTGTTGGAGGTGTAACTGTGTTGGAGCTGTAAAACTCGATGAGCAGCTGCTCTTGATCATTGTCATGAAGCCACACCTGTCCAACTCACATTAGAAGTTCAGAATTAGAAAGTGTAGGCTATGCAAATAATGACGCTCAAATTGAAAACAAGTAAATGAAATAATTAGGATTTCTATCAGCCTAATCGAGGTGTAGATCACAGCTCACATTCCAGTGTTCGAACTTGTAAACAAGGCTGCATGGGATTTCTCTTATTGCGGCTTCATGCAGCCAATGGCAATGCAAGCTTTAGGTATATGCAAGGTGCTGCTTGTGGATTTGACAGCTCTAATGCAGTTACACCTCTGACACTGACACTGCCAAAACAACCACTATGAGGATGTCGGCTTAAAGCGGATCTGATTGAATAGAGCCCTAACTGTGTGAATGGTGTTCCTCAGCGCCTGGACTGAAGCTTTGCAAGAACTCTATGCAAATTCAGACTTTCTTTATGCATGTACATACATCATAGAGTTTTATCATACACACAATATTGTATTTACCAACATACTGTACATGGGACAAAAGTGAATTCCCCATGAATTTCATTTAATTTTGAGGTACAGAATTTGCAGTTATTGGCTTTGAATCATATAATATGATGTCTTGCTGACATAAGCAGTATTGGTACAGGTTTAAATTAAATAAATCTCTCAAAGCTAATACAGGAACTGACTGTATTTCCCGCTCATTCTGAGAGATAAGAAAGGTGGATGAACTATTTCTTGTGAGGTTCAAAGTTAATCCCTAGAGTTCTAGAGACCAGGTCATGAGTCCAGTACCATAACAGATATACATCTACTGCAATGTATGCTGTTGCCAGCAGATGACTCTAGTTCTCCATTGACTTCACTGGCCATTTTGTGATTACTCACCTTTCTTGGTACCACTGTCTTCTGTAGATTCTCAAACATCAACACACTAGTTTAGAAGTAGACTGTAACTCTGTTGAGATGCAACAGCAAATTCATATACTGCTTTCAGCCCCCCCAGCAATAAACATAGTTGTTGTGTGTAGCTGATTAGTCTTGATGAATGAAAATGACCATACTTTTTTTATTTCACCTTTATTTAACCAGGTAAGCCAGTTGAGAACAAGTTCTCATTTACAACTGCGACCTGGCCAAGATAAAGCAAAGCAGTGCAATAAAAACAACAACACAGAGTTACATATGGGGTAAAACAAAACATAAAGTCAAAAATACCACAGAAAATATATATACAGTGTGTGCGAATGTAGCAAGTTATGGGGGTAAGGCAATAAATAGGCCATAGTGCAAAATAATTACAATTAGTATTAACACTGGAATGATAGATGTGCAAGAGATGATGTGCAAATAGAGATACTGGGGTGCAAATGAGCAAAATAAATAACAATATGGGGATGAGGTAGTTGAGTGGGCTAATTTCAGATGGGCTGTGTACAGGTGCAGTGATCGGTAAGGTGCTCTGACAACTGATGCTTAAAGTTAGTGAGGGAGATACAAGTCTCCAGCTTCAGAGATTTTTGCAGTTCGTTCCAGTCATTGGCAGCAGAGAACTGGAAGGAATGGCGGCCAAAGGAGGTGTTGGCTTTGGGGATGACCAGTGAGATTTGTGCATGGCTACTTAAGCATGATCAATCTATCAATCCTGTGAAGCACAATCCAAATAAAGTAGTACACTATTATCTCTCCATTTTAAAGTAATCAATGAGTGAGTTGGCAAATTCATATGGATTTTTGTCACATAATTCCAACTGGTTGGTAGACATTTCAGTATGACCTATGCTTTGTGAAAAATACACCTTTTTGAGCCCTTGAGTGTTAATAGTGTAAAAAGATGAGACATGATAAAAAAGCAGTAATGCATTTGGAACAAAATTAAGGCAACTCAGTGATTATATCAATTAATGGAAGGCCGTTTTCATGATCTATAATCGATAAAAACAAAAACAATGCAAACATATAAGATAGACCCAGCAGAAGCTCAGACATGTTAGAGTGAAAACAGAGAAGACCAACTTGTGGAACACAAATCCAACAAACACAAGCATTGGTGCAGGTGCTTACAAAGAATCCCCCATAGAAATAGAACATCAATTTATGGGAGCATCTCCCTCTTTTATTCTGGGATTTAAAAGTTGATAGAGACAAACAAGTTGTCCACAGAGACGTGTCTTCACACACCACTGCCCCTGGACACAGGAAATGATGATAGGACAGGGGAGAGAAAAGAAAGAGATGAGGAAGAAGGACTGGGGAAGAGGAGTAAAGGGAGGGGTGGGGCACACAGATGGCAACACCTTGAATAAAGCACTCTAACCCCACACTTTATAAGGGTCAGGGGTCATTGGGTCGATTGGGTCCTTGGTCTGAGCTGAATGACATCACAATTCAAATGACAAAGTAGTGGCCTCCAAAGCAGGGATGGCATGAAAACAAGTAATCCTTACTTGACCAAAACTAAGGGAGTAAACATGAATTGAAGTGGGGAAAAACACTGAGTATACCTATACCAAACATTAGCAACACCATCCTAATATTGAGTGGGACCCCATCCCCACTCACCCTTGTGCCCTCATAACAGCCTCAACTTGTTGGGGCATGGACTCTACAAGGTGTCGAATGTGTTCCACAGGGATGCTGGCCCATGTTGACTCCAATGCTTCCCACAGTTGTGTAAAGTTCGCTGGATGACCTTTGGGTGGTGGACCATTCTTGATACACACGGGAAACTGTTGAGCGTGAAGAACCCAGCAGCATTGCAGTTCTTGACACAAACCGGTGCGCTTGGTACCTACTACCAACCCCGTTCAAAAGCACTTAAATCTCTTGTCTTGCCCATTCACCCTCTGAATGGCACACATACACAATCCATGTCTCAACTGTCTCAAGGTTTGAAAATCATTCTTTAACCTGTCTCCTCCCCTTCATCTACAGTGATTGAAGTGGATTTAACAAGTGACATCAATAAGTGATCATAGCTTCCACCTCGATTCACCTGGTCAGTCTATGTCATGGAAAGAGCAGGTGTTCTTAATGTTTTTTACACTCAGTGTATTGTCCCAATACACAGATCTAATGATCACCAAATGAGCACAATATAAGTACTGGGGTATTCAATGAAATATCCCCAGTCATATAGCTTTGGGGCAAAACAAGTCTATTCAACCATTGAGACAAAGCTGGACACTAAACCAAAAATACAAATTTAATTTGAGGTTTAGCATTTTGTTGATTGTACACAAAGCTAGAATTGAATTGAAATGTGTCTTTTCAGTCAGCTTCTCGGTAAGGAATGCAGGGAGAGCAGCGTTGCACCAGTATAAAGTTTGCCCCTGCTATTTTCAGATGGGAATACAAAATGAAACCAACAAAAGATGTGCCATTTCACCTTTTTTTATTTACGCTTAGGGACATTTTTCATTGACAATTATTTCCATCTTTCATGCTTTATCTACTTCTGAAAATAACTGGGGAAATACAAAACGCTTCATAAATCAATCAGACTCTAAATTGGCCTGACTACACACATACAACACAAGCTGGCTAACGACTCAATCACCAGCTGTAATTACTGATGTCCTGGGGAGAGGTCAAGCAGCCAGACCAGGACTTCTCTCTCACCGTCCAATTATTCATTAAGTTCTAACACCCACTAGAATAGCAGGGGAATTGGAATGGATGAAATGTCAAATTTACAGCAGCAGGGAGTTGTGCTGCTGTCCAGCGAGGCTGGTTGGAAAGCACCTTTTAACCCCACAGCCAGATCTCTCTGGCTCTCCCCAGTCCCCCACTTATAGGCCAGTTAGTGCTGGGCACCATACTTCACACAGCACTTCTTCAGCTGGGAGGGTGGGGATTGTATGGAAGGGAAGTGGGATCTTGAGGTCGGGTTATTATCTTCCAGGACACACAATGTCCAGACGACACAATGTGCTGGGAGGTTTCCCACAGAATTTAGGACAGCCGAGGAGAGGGGAGTGGCTGTGAGGGAAGACCAGGGTCAGAGGACAAAGGGGAGAGATCATCTGAGATCTACAGCCTGGGGGGGGGGGGGGGGGGGGGGGGGGAGGAGAGGAGGAGAGGAGAGGAGAGGAGAGGAGAGGAGAGGAGAGGAGAGGAGAGGAGAGGAGAGAAGAGAAGAGAAGAGAAGAGAAGAGAAGAGAAGAGAAGAGAAGAGAAGAGAAGAGAAGAGAAGAGAAGAGAAGAGAAGAGAAGAGAGATGGTTTTGGCGGTCATTTGTGGTCAGAGGATTTCAGCCGATACACAACTGGGGCAGTTATAGTCTCTAGGTATCGCTTTTGTTATGAGTGTCATTTTCACAGGTCCAAGTCATGACATCATAGACATTACAGTCTCTACCTTTAGGCAATAATATCACAGTCGCAAAGCATATGAATTAACAGGTTATAGAGCAAACAACGCAATTATCACAACACGTACAGTGAGGGAAAAAAGTATTTGATCCCCTGCTGATTTTGTACGTTTGCCCACTGACAAATAAACGATCAGTCTATAATTTTAATGGTAGGTTTATTTAAACAGTGAGAGACAGAATAACAACCAAAAAATACAGAAAAACGCATGTCAAAAATGTAATAAATTGACTTGCATTTTAATGAGGGAAATAAGTATTTGACCCCCTCTCAATCAGAAAGATTATTCACAAATGGAAGAAACACAAAATAACTGTCAATCTCCCTCGGCCTGGGGCTCCATGCAAGATCTCACCTCGTGGAGTTGCAATGATTATGAGAACGGTGAGGAATCAGCCCAGAACTACACGGGAGGATCTTGTCAATGATCTCAAGGCAGCTGGGACCA